TCAATACGAATTATCACATTTCTGACTAATCTATAAACTGACTTTGAGACTCACTGTGAATGGCTTTTTATCAAGACACCTCAAATTAAAATAGTAGTATCTTTTCTGAAGTAAGTTACTTCACCTCATTTGACAAATCTGAAGCCCAAAGCATAAAGTGACTCGCTCAAGTCTATGTAGCTAAATATGACAAAAACTGAACCAGAACCTCCAAACTCACTTAGTCCAGAACTCTTTATCATCTCTCTGGGCTGAGTAATTCCATTTCCTGTACAGGAAGGTGATAAACATCTGAGAACAGAGAATGACTCAAATCTCTAAGGCCAAAAAAATGTTCGGGATACAAGGCTTCCATGACCATTTAACAGAGCAAAACAGCAACAAAAAGCGGCATTACTCAATACTGTTTACTTCTCAAAAAATCATGTCATCTCAAACCTTCGCTCTCCTACATCTGTGTTATCCTACCCCACATTTGCTAACGCCACTACTTCCCAGCTCTCTCTGCAACTTTCTGAAACTGTCATGGCAAATTCAAGTCAAAATCCTAGTAACAAATTTCAGGGAACTGTCACCGTCCCGTGTTATTATAGCAAATACTCCTGAAAATAAGTGGGGCTTAGAAATTCTATTATTCTGAGATTCTCAGTGTAATTATTTTTTGCTGTGATAGAATCTGATGTGGGGTTTTTTTTTTCCAGAAATAACCTTCCATAAAAATACTAAAATAAGAGAGAAGACATCAAAGTTTTCTTATGAAGACCACTTACCTGATATTCATTAAACTTTCCCATATTTTCTGGAGTATTTCAAATCTCACATGAGTTTACCAAAGAACTTAATTCATAACACTCTTTCCAAAAGTCTGCTCTAAAAAAGAAATGTCTGCCTTTATGTACTACAGTGTTTAAGCAGAGTCAGGAGCAGAAGTGGGCAATCCATTTTACAAACAAGCCACAGCAGGATTAGGGAGAGAGGAAGAGAAAGAACAGGAAGACTAGCAAGTCAAATCAATTATTTACTTAAAAGTCCACAGGGTACAGAGCACTATGAGATGCACAGTGCCAACCTGCTCCACCCCTTCTCTGCTAGTCAGTACAGGCCCCGAGATGAACACCAGAGTCCAACACCCAGCCAAGTTGCAGGTAAAATGGCCTTACCAGGCTCAATGGGGCCAAACACGCATATTTTTAACTCCAAGTCAAAGAACAGCGGTTCAAGGAAGAAGATGATCAATACCTTAAATATTGACAAGAGATTATGGAAGACAAAGGCTATGAAAATGACTGAATATACGGACACTGGGACTTTTGAAAGGGCATTTACAGTAAAGTGTTGGAGACAGAAACCAGACAGGAAGGGTGTTAAAGAACAAGGAATACGAAAGAAAAGGCTGCAGAGAGAATGCTCTGGTTTTAGATGTTTGAGAGTAAAAGGAAAAAAATATGGCAATAACTCTAGGAGCCAGAAGGGCAGGGGCATTTTACTTACTTAGGATAGAGAAGACCTCAGTGTATTCCTAATCTGAAAGGAAGGACTCAATAAAGAGTGCAAGGAAAGCAATCGACAGATGGAAGACAGACAGGAATCAGTAAGAGTGAGGCTGCAGACAAAGTGCATACTAGGGAACGGGATGGTGAAGAAAAGTGATCCTTGTGGATCCTCAAAGTCACCAAACACAATGAGAACAGAGGACAGCAAATGGTAGGGACTTTGAAAAATCAGAAGCCATGCAAAAATGGCAAAAAATGGTCTAGAAGCAACAGTGAAGGGCCAGAAGTATATTAATTGCTCCCCAGCTCAAGGAATGACAAAATATTCAATTAGCAAAAATACGAATAGCAGCATTCATTAGAGGAAAAAAAAACTTGTTTCACTTGTGTGTTAGGAGATGGAGGAGATGGAGGAAATGCTGGGAGAAAAGGTTAAGAACTAGGACTTTCATCACATTTGTGCACAGGTTCTACTAGACCAAATACAAGCCTCTGATAAAGAAACAGCAGGAATGAGGTGGAGAGGGGTGGGGCTGAGCTTTAGAATACGGAGAAGAGAGAACATTGAAGAAATAAATTATCAACAGGGTACATGAATAAAAGCTAAAAACTTTCATGGCTGTGGATAATGAGGAGAATTAAGAAAGGCAGATACCCCCCCCCCAAAAAAAGTGCTAGGTATCAATGACCACTAGTTTTCAGCACTAACTACGCTTTCAAGCAGACTGACCTTCAAATCCCACTTTCCCAGAAGCTGGACCCTGAAACTTCCTTAGATGCCATTTGCCAGACTAGCACTTTGCCGAATTGTATCAGCAGGCTGTTTGTTTTCTGAATTGGACATTTATTTTTATGAAGGATTTGTTGAAAGCTCTACGAAAGGATATGAGAGACATTATCCAAGATAAGTGACTGTCCTTGACTAAAACTAGGGCTAGATGGTATTTGGTCTTCGTTTTTTGTTTTTTTTTTTTAAAGATGTATGTAAGTATGTATGTATGTATGTATTTGTTTGACAAAGAGAGACACAGCAAGAGAGGGAACACAAGCAGGGGGTGTGGGAGAGGGAGAAACAGGTTTCCCACCGAGCAGGGAGCCTGACACGGGGCTGAATCCCAGGACCTCAGGATCATGACCTGAGCTGAAGGCAGACAATGACTGAGCCCCACATTTGGCCTTCGAAGCCCTCCTCCCACTACTCTTGCACACACAGGATGGAAAAGGCTAGATAACACCAGTTAATATGTGGATAGCACATCACTGATTTGAATCACCACCTAATCAATTATTTCTTTCCCTCTCCTTATTCCTATTCTTATGACCTCTAATCCAAGAACAGAGTAGAAGAAAGAACATGGACTTTATGTCACATTAACGGAGAATCCTAATTCTACTGCTCCCTGAGGAACACTTCTTAAACCCTATGAGCTTCAGTTTCCTCATCTGTAAAGTAGGAGTAACAATACCTATTTCATAAGGCAGTTTGAAACCCTGAAGCGTTCGCAGACATCAGGTGTAGATGCTAACAAAATGACAGATAATATACTCTAACATCCTGCAATGACAAAAACTGAAAGACTATTTTAACTATATCATGATAAATTAAACCATCCAAGGTGAACCAGTGTATTGCCACACTGTGTTGTCAGTGTATGCAGGACAAATTCCCCTGAATGAAAACATTCTAAAGCCACCCAATGCATTCCCAATGCATTCCAATGCATCCCAAAAATTCCTCCATACTTGACAGCTCATCGAACTAACATTATTATTTATTAGGATACAATTTCTGTAACTAATAACTTATGCAAAACATTTAATGGTTTGAAATGTACCATATACATACATTATATGTGTGTGTGTGTGTGTGTGTGTGTGTATGTGTATATATCCCCCCAGATGAATGTTTCCAAAATAAAAGAAACCTTTTAACTCCCACTTCAATCCCAAGTCAATTTTAGAGACTCTCAACATATCTCAAATAAATGGTGTCATGGGGTCCTTGGGTGGCTCAGTCGGTTAAGCACCGGATTCTTGGTTTTGGCTCAGATCACAATCTCAGGGTCATGAGAAGGAGCCCATGTCTGGCTCAGGGCTCAGCAGGGAGTCTGCTTGAGATTCTCACCCTCTCCCTCTGCCCCTCCCCTGTTCACACCCTCTAAAATAAATAAAATCTTTAATAAACAAATGGTATCATAAAAGCATGTGGATACAGAGTAATATTTAGTAGAGAATTTGAGGCAGAAAGGCTGCCCCCTTTGTCCCCTTCTCCAACTTCAGTTAACTAGTTATCACAAATGCCCCCCCGTTTTACCAAACTCATAATCTGACAGTTATCTTTCTTTATCCCACAACATTAACTCGTATCTCTTCCTTCTTCAAAACTTTTAATATACTCCTTTTTTTTTTTTTAAGTGCCTAAATTCAGGTCCTGATAGTACACACATCTGAATTTCTACAAAAATCCTTAACTGGCCTCCTTTCCAATAACACCTCCTGATTAATCAGTCTATAATTCTGTATTGATCAGTGCCTTACCTTTATAAACCTTCAGTGGTTCCTAAATGGTAGAAAGATCAAGTCCAAATCCCCTAGTATAGTCTTCAAGACTGTTCATAATTCAAGCTTTACCTCACTAATCTCATCTCCTCCTTGTCCATAATCTAAACTCTATTACTGGAGCAGACAAGTATCCTTTTGCTTTTTTCACAGTTCCACAGAAAGTGGTTTATTGTTTTTTCTAAAAATACAAAATACAATGCTTTCACAACTCTCATTAGTGAAAAACTGTCAGAACTTTTAGAACAAAAAGGCTGAAAACTTTTCTAAAGCATTATGTCAGCTGATGAAGCAGGCACTCAGCACAGAAAGCTTCCCACCTGCAAGCTTGTGGAGCCAGAGGAGTCGGATTAGATCCAGCTAAGGGCTTAGAAGCGGGGCTTGTGCTCACACCCAATGTACTGAGTGTGAGGTCTGACCTGGCCCTGAGGCCCTCGATGCTCCCCATTCACTGCCCACTCACGGCTCCTTACCACCCCTCGCCTCACAATTCTGTGTGGGACCCTATGCAGGAGACACAGCTCTCAGAGGATGGATGGAGCGGCCTGGCTGACACCCAAGCCAATCCAGGCAGGGAAAAATGGTGACCCTCCTCAAGTGGCCTCAGATGCCCCTTCCACAACAGAAGTCCCCACTTTTGGACACCCTCCCCTCCCCCAGTGATCTCGCCTGGGGCCAAAATAGTTGTTTAGTAGGAGAGGAGGAGGTGAGAAGCTCCATTCCCTCACAGGCATCTCTCTAGTATATGACCTGTACAGGTGTGTTTACTTGTTAGGTGTTACAGGCAGGGCCCCAAGCTACTTTGGGGGCAACACTGGCCAGCAGAGAGACTGGCACTATCCAAGGAGAGCCAGAGGCCCCATGCCCAGTGCCACTACTTCAGATTCTAGTCTGGCTGTGGGGTCGGCATGTCTGGTAGAGACCAAGTGGGGGGCTACCAGCAACTACAGATGTCTGAGGCAGGGAAACAAAGTTGCCAGTTCGTGGCAGCCCCAACAATGATCCTCAAGGGTAGAGTAGACAAGTATTCTTAGGTCTGATCAATAACCCACATTTATCCCAATCTCAGTATCTTCGTTGTTTTGTTGCTCTGGCCTGGAAAACCATTCCCTCCTTTCTGTCTCTCCACGTTGTATCTACCCATCATCGTCAAACTCTAGTCTAACTGCCTCCATGGAGACCTCACAGACCTCTTCAGCCCAGACTAATCTCAGTAAATTCTTCCCTGTAGCTTAAAAGACCTCCTAGAGCAGTTACCACTCACTGTACCATAGATTTGGTGGCATTTTCACCAAAGAATACAAAATTTTCCATAAGGCTAAATTATTCAATACAAAGACTTTCATCTGAAAGGATGCCCTTTCCCTTCTGTTTTAAAATGTTCCATCTTGGGGCACCTGGGTGGCTCAGTTAGTTGAGTGACTGCCTTCGGCTCAGGTCATGATCCTGGAGGCCCAGGATGGAGTCCCACACGGGGTTCCCTGCTCAACAGGGAGTCTGCTTCTCCCGCTGATCTTTCTCCACTCATCCTCTCTGTCTCATTCTCTCGCTCTCTCTCTCAAATAAATAAAATCTTTAAAAAAAATTAAAAAAATAAATAAATAAAATGTTCCATCTTTTCTGATACAATTGTATCGGATGAACAGGTGGTTTTTCTTTTTTGTGCCCTTAATTGGAAAACAAAAAGTTCTTCTGAAATATGAACGGCATATCAAATGAAAACTCCAGAATCACCAGCCAGTATCACCCCTTTTGGCATTAACATATAATCCAATATTGTCATGGAACCATTGCAAAAACCAGGTACTGTCTCCCCAGTTAGAATGTTAAATTCCTTAGAACAAGGGCTATATATGGCACTTCTTTTGTCTTGTTTTGTCCACATTAATTAGCCCTGGTACACAACAGGTACTATAAATTAAATGGAATTGACTAAATTACTGGCCTTTTTTTTTTTTTTTTAAAGATTTTGTTTATTTATTTGACAGAGATCAGAAGTAGGCAGAGAGGCAGGCAGAGAGAGAGGGGGAAGCAGGCTCCTTGCTGAGCGGAGAGCCCAATACAGGGCTCGATCCCACGACCCTGGATCACGACCTGAGCCAAAGGCAGAGGCTTTAACCCACTGCTACCCAGGCGCCCCAATTACTGGCCTTTAAATTTGATGTGAAACTGACCAAATACGTAAATGAAGCCAGTGTTCCTTGTCTCCTACCTTTTTTCCCTCGATTCTCTGCACTCCTCTCAACTTACCCACTTAACAGCCATCTACTTCTCCTATTTCTGCCCTAATCCACTCCTCTTGCCTTTTATGATCGGAAATTTTATCCCCACCCCTTACCTTATTATTTTCCTCCCTCCTCCATTAACCACCTCACTACTAAGCCATCTCTTTTTTCATCATACTGCTTTATGATCCTGATAATCTCTTTCAAGTCATGATGGAATTCAGTTTTAAAACGAATCTAACATAATCATCAGTCTTCAAGTTCCCTGCAAAAAAAAAAAAAAAAAAAATTTCAGCATATGCTGGAAAGTATCTAATTTTATCAAATTATATTAAGAATATCTCACATCATACTCCAGTACAGCTGTGGCAGAAGTATAAAAACTGGTATTCCTGAGTGCCTGAGCAGCTCAGTTGGTTAAGGGCCCCACTCCTGGTTTTTGTTTTTTTTGGGTTTTGTTTTTTTTTGTTTTTTTTTTTAAGATTTTATTTATTTATTTGACAGAGATCACAGTAGGCAGAGAGGCAGGCAAAGAGAGAGAGAGAGAGAGAGAGGAGGAAGCAGGCTCCCCGCCGAGCAGAGAGCCCAATGCAGGACTCGATCCCAGGACCCTGAGATCATGACCTGAGCCGAAGGCAGAGGCTTAACCCACTGAGCCACCCAGGCGCCCCTTGGGTTTTTTTTTTTTTAAAGATTTTATTAATTTATTTGACACAGAGAGAGAGATCACAAGTAGGCAGAGAGGCAGGCAGAGAGAGAGGGGGAAGCAGGCTGCCTGCTGAGCAGAGAGCCCAATGTGAGCCTCGCTCCCAGAGCCAGAGGCACAGGCTTAACCCACTGAGCCACGCAGGTGCCCCCCACTCTTGGTTTTGGCTCAGGTCAAGGTATCAGGGGTCCTGGGACAGAGCCCCACCTCAGGTTCCGAACACTCCACGAGGAGTCTGCTTTAAGATTCCCTCTCTCTCCCCTCTCCCCCTCCCCTTTGCTGTCTCTCTCTCCCAAGTAAACCTTTAAAATACAACTACTGGTATTCCCAATACAAACCTACCAGCAACTACTACTTTGTTACACAAACTGCCTAAACTACCTCCACAGAATCTTACCTATTCAGTCAGCTTTTGTATACTCTGGAACAGTCTTCCTTTTTTTTTTTTTTTTTTTAAGATTTATTTATTTATGTATTTATTTGACAGGCAGAGATCACAAGTAGGCAGAGAGGCAGGCAGAGAGAAAGAGAGGAGGAATCCGACGGAGGATCCGATGTGGATCTCGATTCCAGGACCCTGGGATCATGACCTGGCCAAAGGCAGAGGCTTTAGCCCACTGAGCTACCCAGGTACCCCCAGTCTTCCATTTTAAAGACATTTAATACATCTTTAGGTTAATCAAGATCTAAAAATGATATTCTTCCTCTCCTAGGAAACATAAGCCAACACTGACCTCATTTACTTAGGGAAGAATGATCTGAAATGCACATAGTTCATAAAAGCTTGTGCTCATTGTAACGTTCAGTTGCAAGCTCAGGCATCAAATTCCACCTTGGCATTCATCAGCTGTGTTGACTTTAGGCATCCTGATCTCCTTTCTTAAGGAATTTTTATCTATTAAATGGGGATAATAATAGTATCTACCCCAAGGAACTGTTGAGAGGAAGATTAAATAAAGATATAAAACGCACTTGAATACAGCAGCTGGCATATAGTTAATAATGTTAGGTTTTATTACTTATTATTCATCCTCAATGACACAGAATCCGGAGAAAATTTTCAACTCTAATTCTGCTTATTCACTGATTCTAGATACAAATCACCAACATGAACTAAATAAGATAAACACCCCCAGGTAATCAGGAGGACATACATTTGTGATAAAGCTGTTCCAGGGTTTTAAAGAGCCAAAAATTAACAACATTTATCTTACTCAGCATTTAACTTACACAGTTAACTTGAAACTGGATAAAACCAGATATTTCTTTACTTTTAGAAACAGGATATGGGGGCGCCTGGGTGGCTCAGTGAGTTAAAGCCTCTGCCTTTGGCTCAGCTCATGGTCCCAGGATCCTGCTTCCCTCTCTCTCTCTCTCTCTGCCTGCTTGTGATCTCTTTCTTTGTCAAATAAATAAAATCTTAAAAAAAAAAAAGAACAGGATATGTTGTCAGACCCAGATGGATGGTACCAATTTTCTATCTGAACTCTTCTGCCTCCACAGAAAGGCCACACACATAATGCCTGGGTAAGTGGGTCAGCAAAATAGATTTCACCTTTTAATTATAATGAGTTCAAATCTGTTCCTATATATATATTTGCCTCTCAGCAGACTAAAAATATTCTTTCCCTTTCAAAAAAAACCTGTCTTTTAGACAGAAAAAAAGAGACTATTAAAATTTACAAATAAGATACTGTTATTAATACAAGATAATGTTCTCATTAGACTTTCAACTCAATCAAGAGTACAAGTTAAACAAGTTATATTCAAGCAATGATTTTTATTTACAGGTTCAAAATAAGTGCTGTTAACTCAAGTCATGTTGGGAAGCAAAAATCTCTTCCAGGAATGCCACCAAGGCTCAAAACCTTTTTGAAATTCTATTTGCAGATTCTCAAAAGATGAACCTCACACACAAGATTCCTAGTCTCCACCTCTTAGAATTACATCTCATTTATGACCAAAAACCATACAGATTACTCACTTCATTCACCAGACTTGCTTATCTCCAAAAGTTAAATATAACTCCCCTGAAATGAAGACTTATCAGGATTAAGAATGTGCAATATGCTCTAAAAGCAAATTCAAAAGAAGTATAGCACAGCTTGGAAATCTCATTAAAATAAATATATATTTATTTCCCATTTTGGAAATGTCTGGTATTTGTTTCTATTTTTATTTTTTAAGATTTTATTTATTTGACAGAGAGAGAGATCACAAGTAGGCAGAAAGGCAGAAGCAGGCTCTCCACTGAGCAGGGAGCCCAATGTGGGGCTTGATCCCAGGACCCTGGGACCATGACCTGAGCTGAAGGCAGCCGCTTAACCAGTTGAACCCCCAGGCACCCCTGGTATTTGTTTTTTAAAAAAAGCAGTCATGGGGCGCCTGTGTGGCTCAGTGGGTTAAAGCCTCTGCCTTCAGCTCGGGTCATGATCCCAGGGTCCTGGGATTGAGCCCCGCATCGGACTCTCTCCTTGGCAGGGAGCCTGCTTCCCCTCCTCTCTCTCTCTCTGCCTGCCTCTCTGCCTACTTGTGATCTCTGTCTGTCAAATAATTTAAAAAAAAAAAAAAAAAAAAAAGGCAGTCATATTACCCTATAGATACCCCTCAGAGATGACCATAAAACCAGAGTTAATGAAAATGGAAGTCTGAAATATCATACCAGATCTACGCAAAAGCAACAAAATGACACTGTGGATAACCACTGAAGTTGTTTAATTGAAACAATTGAACTATGCTGCTTCGTAACACTGGCTCCCAAAGTGCCTCTGAAGGAAGAGTGTTTAATATGATTATTTATATCCATCCTTCTTGAAAATTTACATTTGGTTCACGCTGGTTTGGGTAAACTAGAATTCTCCAAAAGAAGGAACTTCCAAGTTGTCTTTTGGAAAAACAAACAAACAAACAAAAACCAAACTTGTCTTTTGTTCTTTTTTTCATTGTTTAAAGGGATGGATTTGGGGGCGCCTGGATGGCTCAGTGGGTTAAGCCTCTGCCTTCAGCTCAGGTCATGATCTCAGGGTCCTGGAATTGAGCCCTGCATGGGGCTCTATGCTGGGCAGGGAGCCTGCTTCCCCCTCTCTCTCTCTGCCTGCCTCTTTGC